CAAATTTTTCTCTAAAATGTGTTATTGAAATGCATTAACTAGTAGTCATTGAATACCCAAGTACTGTGCCAAGGGCTATAGAAGATCAAAATATGGGATTAATATTCAAAAGCTACAACTTCAGGCAATGTGGAAGAGCTACATTTGTGCTAAACACAGAGCATTTCTTGTGTATGGCAGGGGAAGATCACTCCCTACTGGAATGATGATGGAAGAGTGGAGGAGGTGATGCTGAAATTGAGCATTCATTGAAGGATTTTTATAGCTAGATAGAGGAGATGACAAAGCATTTTAGATACAAGGAATGAGTGAGCAAAGGCTTATAGTAAGCATTCATTTAGCCCCCTCTATGTACTAGGCATTATACTCTTGCACTCGTTTTAAAAAGAAGATGAATATGATACAGAAATATAATGAGAAAAAAACATATGTAAGAAATAGTGAATACGTCAGATTTGACTTAGCAAATGTTTCTTATAGAGGGAAAATGTAGGAGATGAACCTGAGAAGGAAATTGGAGACTGATGATAGAGATCCTTGAATGCTAGACTAAATCTGATTATTAAAGTAGATAACTATAAAGAGCACGAAAGGTTATATTTCAGTGAGTTAAATGGAAAATCACTCCTAGTTTTGATTTGAATCTCAAAGGAAATATTGGAGGGACCACCACCTGGTGGCAGAGTACTCACATTGCATCATCTTTTCTTAGGTGCCTAAACATTCTGAAGTTTCAAACTGCTAATCTTTATTTATAAAATGATAAGAAATAAGAGATGATTACTCATCGTGTACGTCTTCTCCACCAGATTCCTTTCTAAAAAGAGAAATCCCTGAGAGCATCTAAGATGATTTTTTCCTAAAAAATTCAATACATCTTTAAATAGAAAAATGGTGAGAATACTCTCTTTTTATTTGTCCAAATTACTTTGGCAATTAATTATAATTCCACCAACTGTCTGATGACAACATTAGAAAAGAGGTTTAACAATTTTATTTTTGGGGTATTTTAATCTTAAAATACTCTTTGATTGTATTCTTTAGATGTATCTTGATTTGGTGGTGGTTACACATGTGATAAAATTTCATACACACACACATAAAACTAGTGAAATCTGAATATCTGAAGTATCTAAGATCTGAATTAAGTCTGTGATTGTACCAATGTCAGTTTCTGGTTTTAATATTGTTCTATAGTTAAGTGGGATGTTACCATTGGCAGAAATTCAGGGAGAAATTCAGTGAATTCTCTGTATGATTTTTATGTAACTTAGATAACTATTTAAAAATGAAAACTTGGGCGCCTGGGTGGCTCAGTTGGTTAAGCGACTGCCTTCGGCTCAGGTCATGATCCTGGAGTCCCTGGATCGAGTCCCACATCGGGCTCTGTGCTCGGCGGGGAGTCCCGCATCGGGCTCCGTGCTCGGCATGGAGTCCGCTACTCCCTCTGACGCTCCCCCTCCTCATGTGCTTTCTCTCTCTCTCATTCTCTCTTTCTCAAATAAATAAATAAAATCTTTATAAATAAATAAATAAAAAATGGAAACTTAATTATAAGTATCAGCTCAACTTCTACAAACTTTAACTGCAGAAATGAAATATAAAAAGATTTACAAATGACCAGGGCGCCTGGGTGGCTCAGTCGGTTGAACTTCTGCCTTTGGCTCAGGTCTTGGTCCCAGGGTCCTGGGATCCAGCCGTGTTGGGCTCCCTGCTCAGTGGGGAGACTGCTTCTCCTTCTCCCTCTGCTCCTCTCCTTCCCTCTTCCCCTGCTCATGCTCTCTCTATATCAAATAAATAAATAAAATCTTAAAAAAAGAAGATTTACAAATGACCATTTGTAACTATAAATTCTATCAAAGAAAGAGTATATCTTGGAAATTAAAGGATGTTAGGTATAAGCATTATATTAATTTTCTTTCTTAATTAAAAATATACTCACCCAGATTGATGAATTTTGTCCTCACTTATTATTTATAGATTTCTTTTGTCTCTATCAAATAAGTTTATACACTGAATGACATATTAACATTGTAGAAAAGTTGGAACGAATCAGACAATAAAAAAAAGTAAAAGGAATTATTATCACTCAGACCCACTCAAATAGTATAGTTTTTTCATTGATCCATTCATCATTCAACATTTATGAGCAAGTCTCTGCTCTGAATGTTCTTTGATAATATAGATTAGTGAATGGTGCGGCCTCTAGTGCATTTTCTCATTTACACAAAGCCTCCCTACAGGCCGGCACTGGCTCAAAAGGTAGATATGTACAAGGAACTTACATTAGTAACTATCTCAAAATATTGTTGTCTTAAATGATTTTTTCTATATGTCTAGCATGCCGTAGGCACTATGAAAGTGTCAGCTATTATTATTTTTATTACTATTAAACTACTAGAATTTGTCATATTTGACCACGAGAAAAGTAGCAGGGCCCGATGATCACAGAATGTAGAATCATAGAACTTCTGTTTTTCATTCAACAAATAATTTTGAGTGCCCTTCACATACCAGGCACTGTCCTTGGCAATGGGACTGGGGAAAAAAAAAATAGATGCTCCCTCCCTCCATTCCTACAATATAGCTTACATTAACCTGTATTTTGAAAGAACCAACCAAGATTAATGGTCAAATTTATTTTATTTAATGGTTTAATTAAGTGCATTGTGCTGGATGACAAGTGAGAGGGGAGGAGATAGGATGTGCAAAGCTTAAGACTGTCTCTGTTATCCAGGGTTTCTGGTATTAACAAAGGAGACATACTTTCATCAAAATATCAGGACAAAATGATGAATTGTCAAAATACATGGTACAGATAAAAAGTTTAGAGGGGGAAGTAAGTTGTTGAGGCCAGTGGTAAAGAAGCAAATTTTTATGGAACAGAGAGGACCGGAGCTGGGGCTTAGAGAATGTATACATCGTATTCGGCACTGAAATGACTTTTTTGGATATGTGGCACAAACTAATTAGCCACTTTCTAAATCTACCTCTCTTCCTCTCAGGAGCAGAGCAAAAGTTATACATAATACTTTCAGTCCTGGCCTATGGAAACTCCCATTTGATGCACCATGTGCCTTGTTTTCTCCAAATTTTGGCTGAATGGTGGCACTAAGGGCAACCAAGGGCAACAATGGAAGCCACATGTTCAAGTCAGTGGGGACACCATTAGCCCACATCCCTCAATGACCACATGGAGGGCACCTGGGTGGCTCAGATGGTTAAGCGTCTGCCTTCGGCTCAGGTCATGATCCCAGGGTCCTGGGATCGAGCCCCACATCAGGCTCCTTCCTCAGCAGGGAGTCTGCTTCTCCTTCTCCCTCTGCCTCTCCCCCTACTTGTTCTCTCTCTGTCTCTCTCGCAAATGAATAAATAAAATCTTTAAAAAAAAAATGACCACATAGAGCAGAATCCCCCCCCCCCCCCCCCCGCCAACAACTACTGGGCTTTACTTGAATGAAAAGTCAACTGTCTTCTCATCTGTTTCTAGGTTTGCCTGTTACAGCAGCCGGCTTTAACATACTATGTAACATGACCAGATTGACTGTAAAATTTTTTAGCACTTTTGACAGTGTAAAAGTCAATATAATACAACATGCAAACTCTGAATCAGCTGAAAATATCCAATCTACACTGAGGTTATGGTGAGGTTGCCAGGGGAGGGAGATGAGGGTTGGTGGGGTGGGGGCTCCTCTATAGTCATTAACAGATTCCAATAAATTTGGAACTGAAGATTATGTGCATGAATCTTTTGTTTAACAGATATAGACACACATGAAAGAAAAGACGATACTAAATGACTTGCCTAGTATCCTAACTGGGGTATGTGGAAAGGCCTCTTCCCTTGCACAAGAGCACGTTTGACTCCTGATACCTGGGCTGGTTCACTTTCCATTGTTTTATTTTATTTTATTTTATTTTTAAATATTTTATTCATTTGACAGAGAGATAGAGAGAGCACAAGTAGGCAGAGCGGCAAGCAGAGGGAGAGGGAGAAGCAGACTCCCCGCTGAGCAGGGAGCCCGACGTGGGACTCAATCCCAGGACCCTGAGATCATGACCTGAGCCTAAGGCAGACGCCTAACCGACTGAGCCACCCAGGAGCCCCACTTTCCATTATTTTATTTTTTTTAAGATTTTTATTTACTTGACAGAGAGAGACACAGCGAGAGAGGGAACACAAGCAGGGGGAGTGGGAGAGGGAGAAGCAGGCTTCCCGCGGAGCAGGGAGCCCGATGCGGGGCTCGATCCCAGGACCCCGGGATCATGACCTGAGCCGAAGGCAGACGCCCAACGACTGAGCCACCCAGACTCCCAACCATTATTTTAAATAACTGTTAAGTCTCATCTAAATTATGTTTTAACTCATGTACCAGTGGTAAAACTAAAAAAGCAGTTTCGTCATCCTCTTCTTAAAAATGACTGTATTTAAGACATAGCTGTCATCTCCACTCTATCCTCCCTGGCTATAATCCAGAGTCCACTAAAATCCTCGATGAAATTGGTCAAATAAAGCTCACCAGTTTATAAATACAAATGTTCACAAGTTTTCCTTTTGGTGTGACTCTAGCTCTCTCTTTGACTTTATGGGCCTCAGGCAGTCATGCAGACTTTTTTTCTTATACGTCACAGCTTATGACATGGCTGAATAAAGAGCGGTTAGTGGCTGATGGGCTACAGTGTAGATTCACGTGCAGGTGCTAAGTGATCATGACTGGGCAAGTGGTCACAGCTGGATCACAAGGAATCAGACACGGACAGTGATAGCATAAGCCCAGACTCAGGACTTGAAATTAGGACTCCCTATGTTCCCATTGCTCAGTATCAGCACTGACTCTTGACCTGTGGAAGATACTGAGCCTGGAAGCAAGAGAAGAAGAGTTTGAACTTGGGGTAGAGACTCCATCTTACATGATTGACACACTTTTCCCCTTTTTTTCTGGAAGTGCTTCTTTATTTAGACAAAACCCCAATGTCTTTGGTCTTACAATGACTCGGGCAGCCTCCCGGTGCTTACCACTGGCTGTGTTCTTACACCTACACCTAGAGGAGGCAGAGTAAACCTACCCATATACACCCCAGCCCAGGCCCTCTCTGGAGTCCTTGTCAGTATCCTTGGGAACAGGTGAAAAGTCTCCATAATGAGAAAAGGAACTAAGATGGAAATTTGAAGGGATTATTTGCAAGTACAGTTCCTAATGAAGAAGGTTTAGTTTTTGAGTTCTGCTTAGGAACGCCGTGGAAGGTAATATGACTTTAGGCTATGGAGGCACTTGTGTTTTTGGATGTCAGATGGGTGCTGAAGACAGAGATCCAGGTCTTGCTGACTTTCCATGTGTCACCTAAAGAGTTGATGGACAGACAGATGCCCCATATTTTTCATGTTTTTTTTTTTTTTTTTTTTTTTTACGAGAAAGAGTACTGCCAAAACCATATCCTGTTACAGTGCTGCATCTAAGAGGACGTGTGTCACTACAGCACTAATTAGGAAGGGCCCCTTCCAGTGGCCAGACTCCTACTTGCTCTGATCATGCTGTTACATCCAGCTAAGGATCTAGCTCTGCCAAGTGGACCACAAAAGGAGAGATGCTCTTTTTTTTTTTCTTTTTTCCACCCAAGTGGAAAAGATGCCTGTGGTGTAAGCTCTTCCATGTTAGAAATTCACTCTTGCATATCTTATGTTTCCCAATGATACCTCCAAGGATTTCATTTCTTTAGACCTTAAGAGATCTTTGAGGAGAAAAAGAGTGAGGATTCTCAGGCAGTCACCTGAAGAACAGTCGACAAAGGCGGCGGCATCAGAACCCACACAGGTGACCACACACATCAGTGCCTTTGTTATGACAGCAGATCACGGCAATTTTCAAATGTTGTAATTTGGCAAATTGGATCTTCAAATAGGTGAATAAGTTCACCTTAAAAAAAAAAATAGTACTCTCACACAGAGACTGATTGCTTTTTTTTTGTAGTTTCTCTTCTCGGACTGTTTGTTGTGTGTGTTTAATGCTCTACCCTTTGTTTCCCCAGCCCCGTCGAAAGTGCGCCACTCTCTGCTGGTTTCTTTGGTAGCTTTGCTCACTGAGCAGCCTGTGAAACTGTTCAATATATCCGACCGGCAGCTATCCTCAAGTGGAGTGGAAAGACCCAGGGAACATCCTCCCTCCTCCCTGTTTCTGAGGTACGGCTGCCGCTACTGGAAATGCATCACCTTTTAGCTGTTTAATTTTTTTTTCTTTTTCTTTTTTATTGTTATGTTAATCACCATACATTACATCATTAGTTTGTGATGTAGTGTTCCATGATTCATTGTTTGTGCATAACACCCAGTGCTCCACGCAGAATGTGCCCTCTTTAATACCCGTCACCAGGCTAACCCATCCCCCCACCCCCCTCCCCTCTAGAACCCTCAGTTTGTTTCTCAGAGTCCATAGTCTCTCATGGTTCGTCTCCCCCTCCGATTTACTCCCCTTCATTCTTCCCCTCCTGCTATCTTCTTCTTCTTTTTTTTCTTAACATATATTGCATTATTTGTTTCAGAGGTACAGATCTGTGATTCAACAATCTTGCACAATTCACAGTGCTCACCATAGCATATACCCTCCCCATTGTCTATCACCCAGCCACCCCATCCCTCCCACCCCACCCCCACTCCAGCAACCCTCAGTTTGTTTCCTGAGATTAAGCTGTTTAAATTTTATGTTGTCAAAGACAATCACATTGTTTTCACACAGAGAATGATTTTTTTCTTCCTTTAGTAGCAGAATTAAATAACCGAATCATGAATAACTTATTTGCCAGATTATTTTAAGATTCACGTGCTATATTTTCGAGGCAAAGGAAAGACGTAACATTAATTTCAGCACAAATTATAAAAATATAATGCTGGGGCTGTGATGACTCACTTGCTATAGTTAAAGTGATCTTCATAGTTCGTTTAAAGAGAATAAGCTATAATATTTAGTGCTTAACCAAAGATAGTTTAAAATGACTCACCTTTTGTAATATTAGCAAATGTTGTATCCTATATATATCTAATCAATAAGGGATTGTTAATGCTGAGGACTACTTCTCTCCTTGCTTATATTCCAACCTCTCTCTTTCAATGGATTCTTCCTGTTACCTTTAAAATTCTCATATTTCCCACTGAAAATAAATTACTGAACACTTAATTTCTTTCCTTTAGCAGCTAATCTACCTCTTTCTCTTCAAATGTAAACTTCACAAAGTGCTGTCTGCATTGTTTCCTTTTTAATGAATCTATTAATCTAACAAACATTTATTTAATAGCTACTCTACACCATATACTGTTCTAAAATTAATTTGAGGGGTGCCTGGCTCGCTCAATTGGTGGAGTGCATGACTCTTGATCTTGGGGTTGTAAGTTTGAGCCCCACATTGGGTGTAGGATTACTTAAAAATGAAATCTTTAAAAAAAACTAAATTAAGTTGAGATTTCTGATCATCAAGACAGTATAAAGAATTCAAAATGATTTTGGGGGGGGATGAAAGTTAATTCAAGTTTTTCCATCCAAGCTATAAATGCAAATAACATATAATGGCTGTCAATAAAGGCTTTCTCTTGACTCTTGTTTTATTTAGCATATTCTTATTTTTTTTCTTTTTTTCTTTACTGTTTCAATCAACCCTTATTTACTGTGACAGCCAACTCAGTCTATGTCTGTCAACATTATACTTTAGTGTTTTTTTTTGTCTATGTTATGTAATCTGTTAGGCCCCTTGAACCATATGACAGATGCAGAGATATCTTGCTCTTTGGGGGGAAATAGACTTGCATAGGGTATGAAGAACATGACTCTCTCATTTTTTTTTTTTTGACTCCCTCATTTCTGTAGGGAGAGAAGTTCTCTGTGAAGTGTATAGATGATATTTCTAAAGAGTTACCAAGAGCCTGGTATATGTATGTGAGTTAGGTTTCTCACTCAACCTTCAATGATTCTTTTGCCTCCCCTGAGGTACTGTTTTGCACAACACAGTAAAAATGTGGACGGGAAGTAATTCCATACTGCAGTTCAGCATATGCCAAAATATAGATTTTCTGCCTTTATATACTCGAGAAGTACTGCTTTTGTCAGTGTCTAGGGAATTTAGATGAATATGTAACACCAGCTTAGCTTGTAATAATTACTTCTGGCAAATGTGAGGGCTCTATAACTCCCATTTTCAAGAGGCTGGTGCTTTAGCACAGATCTAGGGATGCTTAGAACGCGGGTGTTATGTATCCCATTAAGGGGAAGAACTCCTCCATGATCTTGACCTCCTTATTTCTGAAAAAAAATACATCCTAGGGTCTTTTCCTTCAAAACTTTGCCGTGATCCACGGTTCAGGACCCTAATGGGTGACTGATATCTGACAACCTTGCAGGAAACATAACTGCTTTAAGCAAGATGGGTTTAGATGACCTTAGGGATGGAATATTAAGGGTGTGACAAGCTATAGCGAATTTTTAAAATTTGATGGGGGGTATTTAGTGCCCTTGAAATTGTAAGTCATAAATCAACTGTGCATGTTCTGGCCTTGCTAGAACATTAGATACAGTCAAAACATACAAAGTAACAAACACAGCCCTCAAACTTAAGGCTGTTGATAATATGTTAACTATATTGGTTCTCTAGAGCTATATATCCCTGCATTCTCTTAAAGACATGTTATGATAGGCACTGGTAAATGATTTACATCCCTTAGTGTGCTCAGCTCTGTGCAAAGTACTTACTCTATAAAATAATAACAGAGCACAAACCCCTACACAGAAAGCTTTTTATGAGTATTTTTTCTATTTATCTGAAGCACAGTAAAAAAAAAATTGTACACTTTAAAAATTCAGTGGCATGAGGAACACCGCGATAACTTGAGGGACATTATACAGTTAAAAAAAAAAGGGAAACAAAAAGGAAAAAGAATTTCCGTGTTTGAAACACTGCATGACATAATTATACCTGCTCAGACCATTTACAAATACTAGGTCAATAAACTGCTAACATCCATAAAAAGGTAGTTTTCTTACTAAAATGCAAGAATTTACATGATGGGTATCTAAACCAGAAATAAAAAAGCATTGAAATGAAGTCAGATCATGTTACATGGAGGTCACTTGACTAGAGCAAAGTGTGCGGGCTTCTAAAAACTTTTACTAGAAAATCACTAAATGATCTCCTGGTTGTTCAACCTTATCAAGGTTTTTGATCATCTGAGGTCAGGAGGTTATATGGAACAAAATGACTTTTTACTCACTGCTGTGGCTGGATGGGTGTGGCTGGGTGGGATGTCTTGTGAGCTGGGTCAGTGTCCCAGAGGATCCCAAATACACAAGATCACATGAAATAAAGTAGCTAAAACTTTTAAAGCTTTTAGCAGAATGTCTGGATCATGGTAAATACTCGATAAATGTGTAGATTTTGGATTTTAAAAAATGTTTCTCACAACATACAACGTATGAACTTGGACTTGAGGGATGGCAATATTTTGATAAATTTACTCTGCTATATTTGCATATAATAGGCTGTCACTAAATGGTTCATACATAAATCTATACTGGTTAGGGCACCACTAGCCTCTGTAATAAACACACTTCAAAGTTTCAGAGATTTTCCCAATAAAAGTTTATTTTTTTGCATGTATACCAATCCAATGCAAATGTTCTTTTTTCTTTTTTCTTTTTTTTTTAAGATTTTATTTATTTGAGAGAGAGAGAAACAGAGAGAGCGACAGAGAGCATGAGTGGGGAGGAGAGGGAGAAGCAGGCTCCCCACTGAGCAGGGAGCCCAACTCAGGGCTCCATCCCAGGACCCTGAGATCATGACCTGAGCAGAAGGCAGATGCTTAATTGCCCAGACACCCCAGTGCAGGTGTTCTTGTTTGGTGTGTGAGATGTCCCTCCCATGTGGTGTTTCAGGGACCCAGTCTCCTACTACCTTGTGTCTGTGCTATTCCCTGGGGCCTCAGAGTCTTCATTCAGCAGACAGATGGGTAGAGTGAGGAGAGAGAACTTACATTCACTCTTAATCATTTGGAAGCCGCACATACTGTTTCTACTATGATGTTGTCAAGAACTAGTCACACGGCTCCTTAACATACAGAGAACCTGAAAAAAATTGTCCTTGCCTGGACAACTGATT